TATATATATATATATGTATTATTAATACAATACATAAAAAATAAACATATATATATGTATATATATATATGGTCTACGGTTAGAGTTCTACGACATCGAGACTTTGGCCAGACTGCCGGATGCAGTTTCTCAATGACTTGGTAAGCCAGAAGGAAATTCATCGCCGCGAGTCTGCAGAGGGTTTAGGGTTGAAGCTGCGCCCCGACAAGACCTCGCGTGCTATGATGACTCCGCATTTCTAACTCCGGGTTTGGCGAAATAACGATCGAACCAAGGCGAATAATATGTTCCTGTTGTTGTTGCTGTTGTTGCTGCTGTTGTTGTCGTTGTTGTTCCTCTTCTTCTGATATCCCAACTTTTCTATGGTTGTCCAACGCTCACTAATTTTATTTCCTACGTTTTATACGCGCTTCCTCCACTCAGGCGCGCTAGCGTCTGTCTCTCCTGCTTGTCTGGCGATCTGGAGAATCATCGAGCTCTTCCGGCATTTCCGATTTCCGCATTTTTCGATGACCTCAATCGTTCGCAGCATGTTGCTTTTGCTATTGCTTGGCGATAATCTCTCTGAGGCTTTCGTACTTACTACTGGGTGTAGTAACAAGTTCCTGTACATGCTCGTTGCGAGTTCATTCTTCTCTCAGCAGTATTGGCTGAGTGGCTGATTGGCACCCTACTTCCAGTCGTCCTTTAGGGTTTTCTTCTGCTGAGCCTCACGCACCATAGACGATACTCAATACACAACCTGCTAGCTACAAAGCCCACCCCAGGCTTCGCTTACGAACCTCAACCTCGTCTCAAGCGCCTGTGACCTGCGGAAGAGGAAGCTCACGTACGTGGTGCTTGGAAGATCGACGAGTTGCAGTTAAGACTCCGGAGTTGCGAACGTGACATGGATACAAAGAACAAGGAATGGGACGACGCGCTGTCTGTGCTTGTTTTCATGACGGTAGAAATGCATTCTGTCCAGCGCAGGGTTCCCATGTTGGGCGGCATGGCTGTGCAAACTATCTAGTCTGAATGGCCAATGCTGATTACATTGCATACTCCCTTGCCACCACGATGAGAACCAAGCATCGGGAGATCTACCAAGTTTTGTCTCACCGCTTGAGCGTGAACGGTGGCAACCCTACAGCAAATCAGATCAGCAACAAAATCGACTGTCATACGACTGCGGTAGGGCTTGGGGTGACACCTGGGAAAAGAAACCAGCTTTAGAGGCCCCGTGCTCATCTTAACCGGAGCGATAGCAGACAACTCATATCACTCGAAACCTCAACCCTAAACGCATGCCTGAGGTGCCAACCTCGAACTTCGATATCACCCGACACCTACGCCCCAAACGTATGTCTAAGGTACCAATCTCGAACTTCGACATCTCGAAGACGCCCATCGGGCCGTTCCAGATGATGGTCTTGGACTCGGCCACGGCCTCGGAAAAATCTTCAGGGCGGCGACCCGGCACCCAAAGAGGGATCCTGGACCCCGAAAAAAACCCCAAACCTTGAAGTAGCAACAGTGAGACCAGGAAGAGTAGCAGTAATAGTGAAAGCAGCAAAGATAGTAGCACACTTGAAGAGTATCTACTCCCACCTTGGCATTCAACTCCACGGACTTTGGGCCGCAGTCCAGGCCCATGAAGCCTTCTAAAAGGAAGCGGTTTAGGGCCTAGGGGTTTCGGGTTTAGGGGATGGAAACTTCCATCCTGTTGCAGGTTCTTTTAAATCACAGGCCGTGGTTTGAGCTCTTTTTTGAAGGGGTCTTCGGCGTCTTTGCAATGCAAAGCACCGAATTTGATTTCAGGGTTAAGGGTGTAGGGCTGAGGCTTCCCCCCACGTCTAGTCATTGACGCAGATCTACCGTTTTGGGTTGCGCATTCCAAGCCTTCAGCTCCAATCTGTAGCAATCATGCTGGCAAAGCAAGAAGACCGAAGGCAGCAACACAAACGGCAACCAGGGCATGGACAACCATGATGATCGCTATGACTAGCAAGACATGCAAGCTTGCGCATAATTAGGTCACGGGTCAGTCATACAAAAAGTCAGACTACTCACGGAAAGGGAACATCGAACTCGCAGGCCCCTCCACCTTAAGCTCAAGCCAGTCTCTCATCCCAGAAATTAACGGGCGACTCCATGAGGACTGCGGCACTCGGGATGATGGTGACGATGGTCGCAAGGATGATTGTGGTGGTGGTGGCCATGATGCGAGTTCATGCTACTCTAACTGACTGTAACTGCATACTCTACTTGAACCTCAGAACCCATGTTTTCAGGAACTTTGATGTGTCAGAGGAGCCATCAGGGATGCCAGTCTCCTTGGTCACACCTGCCGTTTAGGGTGGCATTTTTTCCAAACTTTTTCGAGCTGGGGTTTGGGGTGTAGGCTATGCCTCGGGGGTATAGAGAAGCTGGACGACTCCCTTAACCCCTTAACCGCCTTAACCGCCTTAACCCTAAACCCCAAACCCCTAACCCCTGAACCCTAAA